ACACACACACACACACACACACACACACACACACACACACGCGCGCGCGCGCGCGCGCGCGCACCAATATCATAGAAATTGGTAAGGAACAAAAAAAGTGGCGGAAAGAATTAAACAGATTACGTGTAATGGAATACACCTATTAATGTTAGGCTTCAACAGACATGTTCTTCGTTCCGTGGCCCTCACCTTTTGTTTCAGAAATAAGGAAAAATTAAGTTATTAAAATGTATTCCAGTGCATTGTGTACGTCGATAATAACAGACCAGTGGGTGTCTAATCTATTAGTCAATTATTGTTGAATTTTTTAAATTAGGTTTGTTTGTTTGTTTTTTGCTTTTGGGGGGGGGGGGGTTAGAATTGTAGTATACGTGCAATATGTTAGCCGCAATACGTTAACTCTGTAAAAACGTTTTCTCCTCGTTTATTGCTATACCATGACTTGGGCAGTGTTTACAATCGTTTTGAGTTGATGACGCGTCAGTCGTTACTCGAAATGTCTTATTCTCAAACCCTGATATGGAAATTAAAAGACTATGTTCGTCAAGATCACAGCCGTCAAAGGCATTCCGTATCAGACCATTCTAATAAGTGAAGAAAGAAGGAAAAGAAAACGTTCTATATACTATCCTTGCATACGTTTAGGCTGCTCACATTATTGTTACCTTTTTTTAAAAATATATATCCATCATTATATAGCATCTTTGAAACATCGGACATGAAGTTTATACGCTTTGCAAAAACTTTTGTTTCTTTTTCCTCAGGCTCAGTGGGACCCCCAGGTATGCCCGGTCGCAAAGGACAGCCAGGATATTGTGAAGGTAATGATGGGAATCGTGTTCGGAGTGGGTTTATGGGGGATTTGAGTACTTACCATGTACTTTGTGGATTTGCACTGAGAGGTCATTATTTGTGAGTATTGGAGAGGGGACGTGCAGTCGTTTAGTCCATTTGTAGAAGCAAACAGCCGAGTGAGGGTTTTATGACTCAGGATCTCTGTGCCAAAAGCAGAAGCTCGTTCTTCCTTCCATACTCCAAACTTTCTGCGGAATTAGGATTTTAGTCATACAAGATATCATTGTTGTGTTTAAAGAGAACACAGTAACCGTGGCAATGATGCTGTTTAGTAGTAAGGAGAAGGGGGAGGAGAAACAACTGTTAAAAACGGGTGGGTTTTTGGTTAACTTGATAAAGCACCATTGGTGTTTGAAATAATTCATTATCGACTATATAAACATCGTAAATGCTCTATGAATGAGAAAATTGTGTTGTTGTTCTTTTCTCAGTCCAGTGTGCGAAGACTCGAAGAACTACTCAATGTAAGTACATGTATCTCAAGGATGAATTTTGAATTTGGCATCTTCTTCTCACAAGGACACCCGTTATTTGTTTACGTTTTGTTACAGATTAAAGTTATAGTTTACGGAATATCGATGCAGTTTACTCAAAGATCTTAGGTTTACTTTAGTTGCTGCATTATGGCGTTTTGAAATTCGATACTGATTTTGAATTTTAAAAAACTTGAGATGGAACGACAGACTCTAACTGGATACATGCATTATGATGGTATAAATCAAAGGGACTTTGCAGTGACCTGTCGTGGACAGCAAAGCAGGGCACATTTTTACCTTGCTGCAAATAAAGGGGCAGCTGGTATGTTTAGATTACTAAGTGCCACATTTGTGCTGCAATTAAGAAAATAATTACGTATAAATATATTTATTTGGTTTATATGTTTGCCCTGTCATTGACACTGCGAGCAGCACCATCTTCACTCTCATAATTCCATAATGACTCTATCACTATAATAGTGTTTGTATTCAGTTGCTTGAACGAGATCAACCAAAGACTTTGCCTATGGAATGACCTACTGTCTGTCAATGCAGGGTGCTAGATTTTCATTTTCCTCTTTATATTGCAAATACTCTGGGAAACTGGCAATGTCCTGCTCAACAACTGATGTGCTAGCTCGAGGTGTAGATGTAATAGTTCTTACATGTCATTTCAAATGGAGTAAAGAGCTACTCTGTCCAAACGATGTGCAGATGAGAACTCTCTGACAAGAGGAAAACAAGTCTGTGATAATTAGATCCAGACCCAAAACTCCAGTTGGTCTTTTGAGTGCAAAAAACGGTGTAGTAATACAGGAAATATCTGCCATGACAACGCTGACGAGTCAAGGGCACATAAAGCATGTTAACTTTTACGTACAATATCTACCTTTTGAGTTCTTATAACGTTTCCACTCCTCTTTTTATAAAAGTACCGGAAGTGACCACACCCCCACCTACGTTCCCGCCGCGGACAGGAGGTAACAGCAGAACATGGACTTGGGCATGTCCTTGCAACATGATATATCACTTTGGAAACAAATGCATGTGCATGGGTCACTACTGCTAATGTCATTTAAACGTCTTCATTGCTAGCTCGAGGCTGTCTCAGATTCTTTGAACAAGATTCTTTACTGAAGTAATTTAAGTTACATGGTAAAAAAGTAGTATCTGCTATTCGTTTCCAGTAAGTGTTGGCCAGGTTCCCACACCCTAACTCTGCCCTTAGATAAAAGTGCCTCATACGAATACTCTGGGGACATTTTTAGTCAGACATAAACATCCGTCTCTCTCTTTCTATCTCTGCTGTGAACATACACACGCGCACACACACACACACACACACACACACACACACACACACACACACACACACACACATATACACACACACACAGAGTAACACACACACACACCATAATCTTCACCTCTTCTTCATTGGTCAACATTGTTATTTATTATTAATTTAAGTCTAACAAAATTGTTGGTAATACTTCTGTTACTTTAAATTATTTACTTCTTTGTTTGATGAAAAATAATTGGCATCATATTACTCACAGCACTGTAATCCTTGGATCACATGAATGCTTGTACTTAACTTAACAATCTCCATCACTTTAAACGGTTAAAAGTATCCCTAGCTACTTTCTTTTTCCTTCCCTTGAATTGAGAGTGTGTAACCCCTACCCATACTTCTACTAGTACTACCCCTTGAATTTGCCCCATTTCTCTTCCTCCACACACTGGCTACGAACAGGTTTGACCTTCCCTTCATTAATCGTAACCACATTGCCTTGACTCGAAAGCATGTCGCACAATCTCTTTTTCAGCCCGCAACACTGTTGGCCTAACAGCACGAGTAGAAGTCCCTCTCATACAAGTCCTCTGCCTGCTGATCGCCTTACTTATCACGTAGGCTAATTATTAGCTAATATAATGACAAAACACGTAGGATAAGTATAATAATATGAGTGTTATGAGACAACTGCATTGATCTGCCCCACTGCAGTAAACAAAGATTGGTGGGTGCTGTATCACACATGATTGTCTCAAAAACACATGCGCTATTATAAAATGGCACGAAAAGACAGATGGACAGACGTGCAGACAGTCAAACCGACAGGCAAATATTAAAATTAGTTACACTGTACGAAATTATGCATAAGTGATCGGACACGACTGAAATAAGTCCGCCAAAGAAGAGCCATCTATAGATATGTGTGTGTGTGTGTGTGTGTGTGTGTGTGTGTGTGTGTGGGTGTGTGGGTGTGTGAGTGTGTGTGCGTATTTGCGTGTGTGTGTGAGTGTGCATGTGTGTGTGTGTGTGTGTGTGTGTGTGTGTGTGTGTGTGTGTGTGTGTGTGTGTGTGTGTGTGTGTTGGTTAGTGCATTATATATACTGTGACGTTCGAAAGAAACTTGAAAATGTATTTACATAATCAGGCGTGGTTCGTACGCAGAGCACGGTTGTGCAGTGCCCCCGATTTTAAAAAATCCAACAACTGTTCTATTGCTAATAGCACCCACAAACAGTAAATAAAAGAAGCCAGCAACAAGCACTAGCCAAATATTTTATCAATGCATGGTCCTCACTGGCGCCTTCACGACTATTAATGTGACTATAGCACCGTAAAGCATCCACGCTCTTTAACTAAACATAATAGGATGTTTAGCAGTGATAATGGAAACTATCAATCGCTCTTTGGGCTAATCCAAGCAATAACGACACTGGTAGCAAGTTTGGAGGTACATTAATATTAATAAGACAGAACATTTCAAATGTGCGCCCTCCAAATAGTGCCGTTTACTATGCCCTTGACTATCCTCAACCTGCCCTAGCTTAATTGTGCACGCCCAACGTTTAGTCTCACGAGCCGCCCCCGCACATAATCATGTTAAAGCCTTGCACTGCCCACTCACGCAGCATTCTAATCTAAAGCTAAAGAAATTCTCATCGTTTGACGCATTAATATTATATCTGCGATAAGAGCCTCCCGAAATATAGTCACTCAAAATTACCAATACAAAATCTAACCGTGGCAAAATTGTTTACTTTTTTTTTTAACTTTAAAATGTGTTTGCGTGTGTAGTGAGGTGCATCAAATAATGGTGGAATGGACCTGTTTTATTTATCAAATTAATGGAGATGTTTGTCCCTGCAATAAACAATATTTCCTTACGACAGTTTTAAATAGATTGGAAAACATGGCAGTATTTTGATTAATAGTCATGGTTTTGTGTAGAGCACGAAACCTTAGGTCATGGACTGTGTTAAATTGTGGACACATTCATCTGTCTTCTCTTCCCAAATGTCATAGAGAGTTGCAAGCAAAGCGTCTGAATCAAGAGCAAAATCACGTTTCTTCGGCGACTGTTTCATGGGGCCCCACATATCTGAAGGATTTATATTTTGCGTTTTTTACTGGTGACCACTCTATCATTCGTATGATTTGGTTTACCAAGAAATTACAAACGGCACTGATCATGTGAAACTGTGCATGAAGATGTCTACTTGAATTATTCTATGTTGAAATAAGGGTAAGACAACGTTCCAACTCTAGTGCGATGTAATTCTCTAAAGAAAGCCTCCTTGTGATTCTCACGAGTGGATTTCTGTTCATCCCTGCCAGACCACCTCAAACCTTGGCAGTTTTTGAGCTTCTGTAATTCCCAGGCTGATAATTACATGTATGCCTTAAATTTTACTAACACAATCTTTTAGTGCAAATGATTTGTGCTCTGCACGAAACCAATGGCCCCTAAACAAAATATTGATTCAGCACATTTAAAGCTAAGTCCAAGTTTTACATGGCATAAGTGAGTGTTCTGCTTTCCAAACTTTTGAAAATATTGTTATAAAATAATGTTAATTGCAGAGACAATAACGTCCTCCATTCATTTGATATTCAGCACACACCCGTTCCACCGATGTTCTACACTCCATTTAATACAAGCGAAAACACACTTTTAATTAAGTTTCTTTGATTTCACTCAGTTTTACCAAAACTAACTTTTTAGGGTTAAATTTGAGTAAACGTATCGCGGGCAACTCATATTGTAGATGAAAGTATAGGAATGTGCTTATGTTGCGTGAGTGAGTTTTGCACGCGATGAATGGGTGACAAAAAGTGTCAAGTTTTTCTTTTGGACGATAGATAGATAGATAGATAGATAGATAGATAGATAGATAGATAGATAGATAGATAGATAGATAGATAGATAGATAGATAGATAGATAGATAGATAGGTAGATAGATAGATAGATAGAAAGATAGGAAGGTAGATAGATAGATAGATAGATAGATAGATAGATAGATAGATAGACAGATAGATAGATAGACAGATAGATAGATAGATAGATAGATAGATAGATAGATAGATAGATAGATAGATAGATAGATAGATAGATGGATGGATGGATAGATGGATGGATGGATGGATGAATGGATGGATGGATTGATGGATGGATGGATGGATGGATGGATGGATGGATGGATGGATGGATGGATGGATGGATGGATGGATGGACAGTCTTACAGTGTGTTTTCATTAACTCTTTATGTCTCCAGAATGTTCCATTGAAATCATCGGAAAACCTGTATTCCAGAGACAGTCCAGGTTGGTTTACTTCTTAACAATATATGAATGTTTGTGTTCAGCTTGTTAGTGAAATCTTTGCTTTCTCTAATAAGGTGAAAAACGTCTGTTCTCTGATTTTCCTCAGCAACAAGGCTTTGTTGTATACACTTCACCTGGTTTTCAACACATTTTTCATACGACGTAAAAACGTTAGTTCTTCAAAGTAGCTTAACAGATACTTTCACAACGCAAACATGAAAAATGGCTTTGCTTATGAAATTCCAGAGATATCTTTATACACCTGACTGTACCTTGAAAAAATAGGGTAAGCAAACTACCTTTTCCTTCCCGAGAAAGTGAATGACTTCAACGATCTTGACATTAATGTCGCCTAGAGACAAATACTCACGGGAGCAATGGGAAGACAAGACGGACGGAACGGTTCAAGGACTAAATCTTTAGTATCGACCGGGGCCTGGAAAATTTTAGCTGACTAAATTGTCCTTGTAAATCAGAGGTGGCCCAAGAACTTGATATGAGTTTCATTTATCATACTACGGACTAGTTCATATAATTGTAATGACAATGATAATGATATAAAGAATTCATATTTTTTGTGCCCTCTGGAAGCAAGATCGGGGCAGTGCACAATCATTAAAAGAAGACAGGACAAATTTTTTTTGATGCATTTGCGAAAGTGAAAAACAATTAGTTTTCGTTATCTGAAGAGATTTTAATATAATATTATTATCTTTTCAAATAGCATTGTAAAAGATACCTTTTTGTTCTTTTTCGCTCAATTTTTGTGGAAGAGTGTTACATGTTATACAGACAGAACATGCAACAGATCTTCCAGCTCCTAACTTTGATTTAAGTGTGGCTTTTCTTATTTCAATGGTGCCAGGTGATGGCATCAGCTTCTTGATATATTGTATACGATCAGTAGATCTTTTACACAGAGCGATACCTTACCGTTCAAATATTTATTTATGACAAAACGTGAACATAGTTTACACAATAGATTATTCTTTGAACTGACACCTAGTAGATGTGATCCAAACGCTACGATGCGGAGTCTTTTTTTTGGGTCTTTCTCGGGAATGATCGAACAGTTTAATTCTGAATAACTTCGAGTTTATTTGTTTTGGGAAAAGGCAGCCTCGCTAGCGTAAAATTGCAATAGTCGAGTTGGAAAAGGACTAAACTGTTTTCTTAAGCAGCTGTATTATATTGCTAAAAAATCAGATGTCGAAGTTTACAAATATTTTTACAGATACATACATTGCACACTTAATCAACTGGTTTACGTGGGTAGGCACTAATGAAAAATCATTTAATAATCAGTCCAATACTCTTAGCAGTCTTAGGAAATGAAATGGCACAGCTCCCAATCTTCATGGAACAGTTTTTGCGACTTCAATGGCTGTCGCATTGTTTGCCAGTAAGGCGTTTGTTTGATTTTTATTTAACATCAGCCAGTTCCTATTCTTCAATTTTTTACACCTTTTTCGATAACAGATGAGCTCATCAAGATTTTATTATGTGGGTGATCCACAGGTCTGTTTCTTTTAGTACCTTAAACAGGGCCGTCTCAGAATTATGATACGAAAGCACGTTGCCGCCGTTGTTTTAAAATGAATATCTCGGTTTGCTTTTGTTTTATAGGTTGAGCAAAAAGCTTTGTTGCGAGAACCATTACGATGGTTAATCTTTAGTCAAAAGATTAGTTTAAAACTTCTATTTCTGTCAAAACATTTAACTCCGGAAAAGGAAGCCTCATTTTACCGTACTATTACATAAGTCCTCCATTACAGACACAATCGCTGATTAATAAACGCTTGTTAGTGGAATGTTGCTTTGACAAAAGTTAGCAAAAATTAAACTATGCTATTGAAATAGCTGCCCCGATGCACGAGGAGCATATTATTATCATCATATATCCTGTAAACATTATAATATTTAAATTACATAATAGCTATGCTCGGTAGATGGTTTTTAAAAGATAAACTGCTACTGTTATTCTCTTTCGTACTTTCAGACTCCAGGTGGGGGCGTGGATGCAAGACACGACTCCATCAAGCTTCTCAGCTAACAAAATCTGGGCAACATTTGGCGTACAGGGTTCCCAGATAGTCGAGTACAGCTCCATAGGCGCGTTCAAAGCCAACAACACGAACAGGGTCATTGACCTATCTGGTGCACCATATTTCGGTACTGGTCACGTCGTCTACGGCGGTTTCTTCTACTACCAGTGGGCAAACTATCCAAAGATAGTTCGGTTTGATCTTCAGGTCGGCCAGGCAACTTCAGTGAGAACTCTGGAAGATGTGGTCTACCAACCCACAAAAGCACTAAAGTGGCAAGGATACCTCTATCAGACTGAAACAGCCTTTATCGACTTCAATGTAGACAGGAACGGACTTTGGATCATTTATGGGAACAAGCGCACGGGCAAAATGATGGTAGCATTGCTTCAACCAGAAAACCTCGACATCATTAACGCTGTGGAGATTGATCTTGAGGTCGGGTCAAAAGGTAATGCGTTCATTGCTTGTGGCAAATTGTACACGATCCGACATCACAAGCGACAACGTTCGCATCTCGACACTGTTCATGATCTATGGCACAACACGACACAGAAGATCCGTATTAATTTTGCCAACCCCTATGGCCGCACAGTGATGGTAACCTTTGATCATAACCATAACAAATTCCTAGTTTGGGATTCAGGGAATCAACTGACCGTTCCTCTGCTGCTAAAATTCCATTAATGAAAGTCGAGATAAAAACGTTTTTCCAGACCACAGTCACAATCCTTAAGATTTTTGCCGATGATTAAAGAATACATTAATCTTGCATCCCACGAATATACAACAAAAGTAAGATCTGCCAGGGGCACCAGTACACTAACAACATGAGAGAAAGCTTACTGGACAGCACGGCGCTCTATGATAGTTTTGTTGAGGAAGCAGAGTCAACGACGAGGAATACAATATTCAGCTACAATATTTTTCAGGGCATGTATAAAGCCATCATCATTCAGGGTTGCCGAGAAAAAAATCCATAACCAGTAGAAATCAATGTAGACTATGAATATCATATATCTGAGCACCGCATCTTGCCATTTGAAAAACAGTATTAATTATGCTGTAGTGTCCGGTTTCATATGTCAACACAAGATTGGTGTTTGTAGAATAGTGGTAAAAACTATGGACTGTTGACAGGGAGCCAGTACTTTAGTGTCAATGAAATCTCAATTTCGACGTCAGTGCCGTGTTTTGGTCATTCCAAAGCGCTTCTTAGACACGTCTTTGCTTTTGTCATGCAGATCTACATAATGTGTTGCAGTCATGCTGTAATTTTAATCGACGCTACGCTTTTGAATTGGCTGAGCATTGATATAAACAGTAACTGCTCTAAATTATGAGTATAAAACCGTGAACAACAAAACTATCAAGAACAGTTTAGACAAAATTTGGCAGGTTTCCAGGTTCTATATCAATTTTTTTTTAAATTAGGAAATCTGTGTTCGTCTTTTATATTTTTGTGTTTTTCAGCATTCCGAGCTCAAAGTTGGTAAATACTCATGAGAGAATGTATTCAGTGCTCAGTAGGCTTTCTCCATAATGTATGCATTTTGATGAATAAAAATCTTTGGTCCTCTTTCTCCATTAAACTTGTTCAAGCATTTTAAATACTTTCTTGGATATGCTTTTCGTTGTAAAAATATGGCCAAACTCCCTGATTTAGAAATGTTTACGTGGTTTACATTGCTACGGCGATTTCATATTTTCACGTCGGAATGAGTCTGTTACACTTGTAAAATTGATAACCAGAGGAACCAAAATACTGTTATTCCTTTTTCTAATATTCACATTTCGTAACACTAGCTGTTTCTAGAGGCATGACTGTTTAACCTTAACAAACTCTAAACTGCATGTCATTTTCTTATACAAGGACATTCTGTCTAATAAAAATTATATTAAACGCCTCTGTCAATACATTTCCTTACTCAGATAAAAGGTGCTTGGCGATTCTTCTGCACCATCATCCGCATTAATATTTTTCCCTGTCTTATTGGTTGTAGTGTGTTTAGGGTCGGATCTGTGCAATCATTTGTTTTCATGGTGTTATGTTCATTCAATGACACATAGGGACTTATTATCACTTACTAACTATCTTGTATTGAAGCCTCTTTAAACACCATATATGTTCTCCTTATTCGTTTGTACAATGACATGACACAAATTTGAGATAAAGATGTGCAATTCTTTTCACTGTTTGTTAACGTTAAAATATTACTTGCAGTTTTATGTGTTAAATGAAGAGCTGAATTGTAGTTGCGCTGGTTCGTTATTGCGTGCTAGAGTAAACGATATTAAGCTGTGTAAGATTTGATTATTGAGCTGCCGAGTGATCGAGCGATAGAAACATAGGTGGAAAGAGGGGGAGAGTGAGACATGGGGAGAAGGCTAGAAAAAGGGTAGGGTGTGAATGAATGTTTGGGAGTATCTGTGGTATGTGTGTGTGTGTGTGTGTGTGTGTGTGTGTGTGTGTGTGTGTGTGTGTGTGTGTGTGTGTGTGTGTGTGTGTGTGTGTGAGAGAGAGAGAGAGAGAGAGACAGACAGACAGACAGACAGACAGACAGACAGACAGACGGTCAGACAGACAGACAGACAGACAGACAGACAGACAGACAGACAGACAGACAGACAGACAGACAGACAGACAGACAGACAGACAGACAGACAGACAGACAGACCGAGACAGAGAGCGAGAGAGAGAGAGAGAGAGAGAGAGAGAGAGAGAGAGAGAGAAAGAGAGAGAGGAAAACATACACAAATAGATACAGAGAGAGTTTGAAAAGGAAAAGGAGCAGTGTTGACCAGTGTCTTGGTGTGCTTTGATGCATTTGATTATTTAGTGACACCGTTTAGGTTGACTATAGTGCTATTACAAATTCATGGCGCAACTTGTCCTGAAATATCTCTTTAACGTATGAATCACTGTCATTCATACTTTGCACAGCAGCTTGTATCAATTTTTTAAACGTAATCATATTTTTCCACCTCAACTGAGACTAGATTTTTAAAATGTTCTTCATAAATGTACATGAAAAACTATAAATCTTCATCACGCAGAAAATGGGATTGTTCATAGAACTGTCCACTTCTCACACACATTTTGCACTCGCATAAGGCTTATGCCACAGATCACCAATGGCACTTTTAAGTGGCAAAACTTATAACAAGAAATTAATTCTATAGTGGTTACATTTTTTTTACTAAAGGTTCTCAAAACATGTGCTAAGTAATATCACAATGTTGCGATAATTTAAAAAAAGATGACTGGTTTGCTTTTAAAAGCGATATTGTCCCAGCTGTAAACCCTTTAAAATCTGCAAAAACCATCCACTTGGATTTTTAATTAGTATGTATTGTTCTTATAACAAGTGTTTACAAACATATTGATCTGTTAAGACAAATTGATACAAGTCATTGTGCCGAAGCTGGACAGTTTATGTTCAGTAATAAAGGAAATATTTCACAATAAGTTGAGCCACGAACTTTTAACAGCACCCCTACAGCACTAAAGTTGAACGTTTTATTTGTGTTTTGAAGCGGTTGTCCATGGGGTAAGTCCTCGCTCCAGAGACGAATTGCATGCGCAAGGTCTCACTTAGATGATAATATCATATTATGACTTTCTTAGTAATTTATCTATCTGACTTATTTTTTCTCATTTTCTTGTTTTGATCCTTCCATTCTTTGCTGATAATTTTGTGAACGCCATTTACTTTTTTGCTTATAAGAATTACTATGGGAAGGGTTGAGTTAGGCTGTACTGACGGAGAGAAGTAACGGAGAAAAGGGAGGGGGCTGGATACAATAATGCACATTTGATAAGGCAGTGGTTGGGAATGTTAGCGAACAGATGCCAGGAGCGGGGAAGAGCGGAGAGTTAAAGAGAGAGAAACAGAGAAAGAAAGAGAGAGAGAGAGAGTGAGAGAGCGACTTAGAGAGAGATATATTATAATATTTAAAGACGACAGAGAGGCGAGAGAGGGAAAGAGAGAAAAAAAAGAAATTAAGAGACAGACAGACTGACAGACAAACAGACAGACAGACAGACAGACAGACAGACAGACAGACAGACAGACAGACAGACA